AAAAAAATATTTGACTCGCAATTTACTTATTTAATAATGTTTTATATAAGTACTTACGAGATACTTATTTAGAAATAGTTTATATATATGTACTTACGATAAATTAAGCCTTTCCTTTTTAAATAAATATTCTGTTCTTGTCGTGAATTTAAAATTACTTGTGTCTTTCCTGTAAATGTTACTAATTTAAATGTAGCAAACAAGTTTGGAGTACTACTTAACCTAAAATCATGATTTTTTCTGTGGTAAACAATAAAACAAACCGTAGAAATATCTATATACAAATTGTTATGATAAATACAGTAAACATAAAGTAATAGTAACATAACATAACATCAATGCTATAATTTCCTACTCAACAATGTAACTGTTATATAACGCGTGTGTTATATAACAGTTACATTGTTAAGTAGGAAATTCTAACATTGATGTTATGTTACTGTTACTTTGTGTTTACTGGGTATCTATATACAATTGTTATGATTTAAGCGGTCGTCGCTTAAAAACTTATATACATATTTCTTTATAGCTTGTTTTGTTCATTGAGATAGTAAAAGTCACGATTTTAGATAGAATATATTTAAACATTTACTCTAAATATTATTTTAAAAAACTATTACATAGAGCAAACATTAGTAAATAATTAGCCAGATTAAAATGTACCTTTTCCTTTATCTTTTTTTTGTATATTTTGTATATTTGTTAATATGTTGCTATGTTTTTTTCTATTTTGCGTATCTTCTTTTTGCTCTATTCTCTGTGTGTTTTCTTTTTGTAGGCTCTTTTTTTGTTGTGTTTCTATTGAGATCTCTGCAAATGTTTCACTGTCATCAAATCTCTGTGAAATATCTGATAAATAAAAATTCAACCGTTAATGTCAATTACAATTTGACTTATCTATAGTTATATAATATAATATCTATAATATCTATAATATAATATCTATATAATATCTATATTATAAGACTTATCTATAGTTATATAATATAATTTGACTTATTTTATATTTACATAATAATAATAATAATGTAGTTCATTTACAAACCTTGATTACTAGAAGAATGGCTTTTTTCAATGTACGTAGAATCAGCTTCGTTAGAACTTATTATATCCGCACCTTGAGCCTTTTCTAAGATCTTTGACATTTCTAATATGTCGACTTTAGCAACAGGTTGTCGGTAAATTTCTTTGTGTATGTGTTCATGATGACCCATGAAGTTTGCTACTCTCGTTACTTGTCTATCCGACAAGTTTAAATCTACACATTTCGTTGCTATGTGTTTACGCAACGTAGTACCACGAAGTGCGGAAACATATTTCGCTCCACTTGCACTTGCGTAATCTCGCATTAATTTACAAGCTCTTAAATGTTTGTAACTTGTTTTATTATCACCATCGGGTAATCTAAACAAGAAAGGGTTCTTTGCTGATACCATAGCGTGTTTCCGAAACTGTAGCAAAATTTGTATATTTTTTAACATTTGTGCATTTAATAACACTGGTACTGTTCAATTGAGTTTCCCGCGAATTTTAAACCTAACATAGTTATGAGTATTGATTTGTGTTGAAGTTTTACAAGTAGCAGCTGTTCCGCAGGGACATTCATAGTTTTTAAAATCTTCAATTAAAATTCTTTCAGTTTCGCCGGCTCTGCGACGATTGAAAACTTGAATAGCTAAGAGTGTTGCTTCAGCTAATGATTTCCATGTTTGATATGAAAATTGTTTTAATAACATATTATAATTGTCTTCCATTGTTTTCTTTAAATAATTATATAGAACTTTTATATAATTTGTTTGAGGCAATACTGTTTTTTTGTGTCGTTTTGTGTCGTGTAATTTTTGTATGAGTTTTTGTTACGACTTTATTTACAGTCTT